CACGTTTTGTCCATCAAGATAATCTTCACAAAATGATATAACTTTTATGAATTTTGAAGCCTAAATAAAAGCGCCAGAACTTAAAAGCTAAACTTACGCTATAAACGAACTACACCGCGGTCGCTCGCCTTCAACGTCACCACCAGCATGCTTCCGACAGCTTTTTCAAACTTTTTTTTTTAACATGTCCTGTGAAAAGTATTTACTTTGTATATGAATTTTAATCCACGCTTGCCTACATGAACCTTTTCATATAAACTGGAATAAATACAAAACTAGAGCCAAACTAAAACTGAAATGAGACATTAATAATAAAAAGTATAGTGAATAAATGAAATAATCATAACTAAAGGACATATGAAAGCATGTATTTCTGTACATTTCTAAATAAGGTGCAATAAAAGTAAATAAATCCTTGATTAATATGAATACTTTAATTAAAAATGTGTCTCCATGTTCTATTCAATAAAATTCTAGTGCATTTAATCTATTAAATAACAGCAGAGTGAGCGAGTTTTTGGATATGGTAAGATTAAACTTATTTTAGTAAATGAAGTACCACATTTCAGCTATCATTTTGTTAGGGTGGGTACACAATGTTATTTTATCCTTGCTTCTAGGAAATCCTCAATCTATATGCTTTCTAACAGCTTCATGCGGCCGTAAACATTTCAATTTAACGTGGCTTTAAGCACTATGCATCGTTAAAAGTTTCACTTTCACCACGACTAAGCTGGTAAATGTGGTGTTTACATGGAATAATCATAGGAGTTTACCTTATGGTACGAACCCAGAGTCTCTGTAACAGTAGGAAAGCGATAAAACGAGCATCTTCCATCCGAACACTTGTTGCATTTCTGGCCAAACCAAAAAAAAAAACCCCAAAAAACATTCTCGAACAACAATATAAAATGCGGGAAACTATTTACTGGTTATTCTAAAATTAATTGTATTACAAATTATACTACGATTGGACAATACTGTAAATTGATCAATTGTTCGGCGTGATGACGTTGAATGTCTCCGACAGCGTCTGTAGTACCATTTAGCAACTTGTTAGCAACCGTCTTTTTTAGGAAACATAGCAGTTTAAAAAAATCACGAGTGGGGTATAACTGGTGTGTTTTATGTTGTAGAATAAAACGTGAAAATATCTTGAGCCTGTGTGAACCACGGACCTTATATTAGGGATTTAACCAAAATCCCATTCAAAAATCCATTGACTATGGGACCATGGAACCGGAAGTGCTAAAATGCTAACACGCTTCCAGGTTTTTGCCTACAAAGTGGCATCATAGTTCCACCACTCTATTAGCTTTTAAATAACAAAACAAAATAAATAAATATCCGATGATCTAAAATACTTTTTTTTTTTTTTTTAAACACCCTTCTGTCATGAAACCATATAGAAACTGCTAGTGTGCTTCTAGTGTTGAACTGTGTAGGTCCTTACCAAGTTCTAATAATAAACCTAATATTTATTATTATTGATGGCTAAGACTAAGGCTAATTTTGTTATTGTTACAGAACTTGATTTTAGATACACCATTTTTTGGTTTCAATAATGTTCACAAAATACTCAGCTGAACGAAACTAATTTAGGCTCTAAATACTGTAAAATGTAATTCTGTATTTACTCGTATGTACACTCAATACTGTTTGGCTTGATGCTTAAGATCCATTGGAACATCAGTAGATTTCATTAAGTGTGAAACTAAAATATTACTCAAGACACTTACGTTTTATTATCTGAGCTAATGTTTTAAATTGTAACCCCAAATTTATTATGTATACTTTATAACACTTCTCTGATGTCTGTGGCTTGAACTGCTGATGTTGCTTTGGTTTAAAGATCATAAACCATTGAAAAGTAGTGACTTCTGACATTGAGTATTACAAAATATATAACATAAGCAGAATCTGGAAACTCAAGTGTTTGATGATGCAAACCATCTGCCACATGCAAGATGATAAATTCAAAACAAGTTCATTTAGTCCGTTTTAAACACTACAATTAACGCGTTCTCAGTCCAGTGACTATTTTTAAACTGAACCTCTTTCGTAAAACCCTACTATGGGAACGTACACTAATCTAGGCTTCTTATTTACTTCTAAAGGTGATAATGTAAGATGTTGCAAATTTGCTTGAAAAATGTATAGAAGTTTGTCATGATTATCCTGCCTGCGAAACATATGAGCGTAGTTTAAGGACAACCAGATGATTTCCAAAATGATATTAGGATATGCAATGCATAGTGCCATTGAAGTTTAAGCAGCAAATGATAAGCTCATTTTGCTTCT